GTTTACAGATGCAGTCGTTGGTCACCTTGAGCGTGGATAACGAATAGCGTCTTCGTTGAATGTTTGTTGGTTCTCTTGAATTACGTGGAGGGTGATTTAACGTAGATCTTTCAATAAAATCCTGAGTCTCGGATCTGTGGACTTGTTACATTCTGATCCGAATTCTTCTTAAGATTACTCTGACGCGACGGTAACTTATTGATCCGTAATCTTTCAACTACAGGGCCATTCGAGAGTAAAGCACTTGGCCGAGCTACAGTAGAGATCGTTATCGTGTCACGGAGAACCTTCGGGAATTAGATTGTCCCTCGTACATTCAGTGTTTCAGAGATTTTATATTCGTGAAATAAATCATTCGTATACGTAACGACCGGTGCAATCCCACTGAAATCCTGGTATCACTCTGGGAGATTGATACGGTAACATTCTTCCTCCCCTTGATCGACAACTGAATCCTTCGTTCCTCGCTCCCTTTACATTGTGATTGACGACTTCTTCAATTCGACACAATCACAATGAAATACACAGATCAGTCTTCACGACAATTGTCTCAGACATTCCTCTTCGAACACCGTCAGGCGAGTATCATTTCGAATCGAACGGTAAAAATCGTCGTTGATAGATCCAGGCGGTTTTGAAATCTTCATCCAAAGCGAGCCAAGAACGTCCAAGTAAACGAGTCGTAAAAATCGCGGAACTGCAAGGTATCTCAGGCTGCCATCGCGACTCCCCTCGACCGTTCGTTTCGCCTCCGTAACGACTACGAATTAACTGAACCGTGTTCCCTTATCTTCGCCAGTTTTTCACGGTCCCCGGATAAGCGTATCGCGACCAAACGGAGCCGATCGCGTCCCACACGTTCGTTCGCCAGACGGAAAACGGAGAAACCCACGACGGTCACCAGGGACGATAACCGCCGTCGACGACGTTTAATTAATCCACGTCTAACGCCACTGTTGTCGACGACTGGAAAAGCTATATTCCACTTGGGATTAGCTGTTGCGGGGGACGGATGTGACTCGAAAGCGGACTTCCTTTCCCGTCAGGATTGCCCCAGGGGATGGGACCAATCGAGAGCCATTATTACTCGAACGTCTTTTATTTGATTTCTGACTTAGCGCTCGGTAATTTGTTTGCTTGATTGATTGGGTTATCAGCAGCTATGTAATTGGAATTTCGAACGGATTACAGTGTCTCGGACACGTTTTAATTAACCTTGGACAGATCCACAAAGGACCGTGGGCAAACGTTCTATCGGCCCGATTGGCAACGTTTCACACATTGTCGATCACATTTTGTTTCCTGCACTAAAGGGTCATTATGTTAATAACAATACATCAATACTAGTAAATATTCATAGAATCTTTATTTTGAAAATGCATAAACATCCACAATCTAGTCATAACATCCAGTGTCACGACTGTAATAGTCACGATTTACCGTCACGTATGAAAACGGTACCTTAACGAATCACGTCTCCTCAGTACGGAACAGAGGCTCCGTTACCTCAGATAGGATCGATGTTCCTCGGAGAACGGGAGATCGCCTCGAGTCGCCTAGGCAGGATCCCAACCGGGACGCGGAAACTTCTGAGATTGGCAACTGATCACGATGTTAACAGTCGCCCCCGCGAAGAACGGCACCCCCCTCGCTTGTGCTTGAATATGCAAGCGTGAATTTCCGGCGAATCGGCGAGCACCTCCTCGAAACTTTTCTGTCCTCTGTTCGTGTCTCGGAGAAGCGATTATCCTAGGAGTCGGCTGAAATAATGGATTTCTGATCCAATTACCGTACCGGTCTCGTCGAATCCATCTTTCATTTCGAACGACCCCTCTCTCGTGCCCCCTCGTTACCGTTCGCTAGCTAACTTTTCGTTTAGCGAATCTCCCGAACTTCCGGAAGTTCTCTCGCTCGGTTTCCGTGGAAAAAACCCAGAGACCTTTCGCTGGGGTCCAATTAACCACAGGCAACGATCTTCGTGGTTGAACGCACTCTTCTAACGGGGTCCATACATATTTCAGTCGACGATCCCCTGGCGTTTTATCGCGTTTCCGGCGACCATCCTCAAGTTTCGAGGAGCAAACGCCTTCGAGGAGCAGCTCTGACCTATATGTATAGGAGAGTTCGATGACCAATATCGAGAATCCTGGTGTTTCAGACCGGCCGGTGGTTCATCGAAGACGTAGAACTACGAAGTTTCCTATGGTTCGATCGAAAACGGAGGAACTGTTTATCCTGCGATCGTTGATATTGGAGTGGGTCGCGATTCGAGATGAAAGTTTCGAGAATTCCACGGTAAGTGAATTAAATTCCGGCTGCGTGTTTTATTTACCCTTCGGGGGAGGAGTTCTGAGGAAACGAAGCTGCCGCGGGGTAGTTTTTTCCGGGGCTGAGAATTTCTTCTGCTGAAGAATATTGCCTTTTCTTGGGAGTGCTCTCGAAGATCTGGAGAATTCCTCGCAGGCTGTGCGATATGGAATCGTATGTCTTGAGATTTCGTGAGCCAATTTTCGATGTTGGTAGTACGTACCCGTCACTTGAGGGATCTTTTTTTATTTGTCTGTTCCTTCGTTTGTTAAGTCCACAGTTTAAGAAAAATATTAATCAGCGGACAATCAAATCACTACTGTAAAGTACCAACGTAATTATTTCTCAAACTTATTTGTTATCAATATACCTAGAACAGTAGTACATTTCGTACTAATAAGGAATCCTTTCGGTTCTTCCGTTTCAAATAAGCAGAATGGCTAGAATCCTGTCAGCCAATAGGCCCCTATCCTCGAGGAATTGTACCAAATTATTTATAATTCAATCAATTTCGATTAATTAGAACATAAATAACCATCTGTGCAAAAGGTCTTATAGTTTTCTTCGCAAAAATGGCCTGAAAAAATGACACTTTGAATAGAAAATACCCCTTCAAATGAAGTGTCAGTCGAGGAGGTCCGCCCAAGCAGAACCCTTGATCCCACGGTCGTGTACAGGTTTCGAAGTCAGCGGCAGCGATCGTTTAAATCAGAGGGGGCGGTTGTAATCGGGCTCGATCATCATCATCGGGCTGGACAATGGATCGAGCGTGCGTGACGTCGCCAGCAGCAGCAGCCCGATGGCTATTGGGTCACTGGTACCGCAGGAGCTTGATGAAGTGCACTTCACTGTGCTTGACGCAAAGACGCTGAATATGCAAGCTCACCGGATGCCGGCTGTCGGCACGATGTATTACTGCGGATCTTATCCAGGGGGGGACCGTTGTCGTCCATATTGAAACCTATTTGCATTTCAAACGCTCCTACACGCCGAATCCGTCTCTCTCCGTCTTGATCCCATCCTTTTTCTATTCCTTTCCGTCGACCCTTTGCGTTTCACAATTGCATAAACGATCGTCGATCGCAGCTGCACTTTCCTGGAAGAGTATTGATCTTCGATTCCTCAGACCTCGATCGTGAGTGTCGAATTATAGTTGGGCGTTTTATTTCGAGGGAATCGAAGTATTCTCTGATCGATACCAGACGATAACCGTTGAATACGAGCGTAGAATCGATGGTTGAAGAATCAGATCAGTGTATTGAGTCGTTCCTTGATTCTTTGGATTCCAGGTGAGTTGTACGATCTTTCGAATTTTTCGATTTATTTCCTGTCGAGATCAGATCTGTGACTTTGCTGAATTTCGACAGGGCTCGATTTTGAAGATTAAGAGCGAATGAAAAACGCTATAGCTGATGATAGTTGAAACTGATATTGCAGTTATCAGACTGGTAGAATCGATGGTTATTAGGGAGGAACTCGGCAGGATCTTTAATAATCAGTCTGATCCTTCGATATATCGTGGACAAAGAGAAATACGAAAGACCGATAGAAGTAATCGTGCACGAAGAATCCACTTCGATCATCGGATTCAAGATTATTTCTTTTTCATGGAATCCTCTTCACGATCCACGAAGGATCACATACGAGAAATATCCGTACGAAGCGAAGGACATTGTTCTCCGAGAAAGAAAGTCTCCGAAACGATACCTTTTTCCACCAGAGCACGAAAATCCAGCTTCTTCTTCCAGAACAGGGGGAGAGAATCCGTGCAATCTCTGCGTCTCCCTTTCAACGACCACCCTCTACCATTTTCATAATTTACGAACGGAGTCTGTCGTATTTCACGCTGAGATAGAGCCACGATCCTCGCTGGCGGGGCGAAAAATAAGAAGAAAAAAAAAAAAGAAACAAACACGGCCGTAAAACGAGGAAGAAACAAGACGGTAATTCGTTGCCCCGTTTTTCCAAGAACACCGAGGTTCACGTACAGCCCGTTAGACAATAGCACCCAAGGAGTAGTTTTCTCGTCGTTTCATTGTATCAGGTCTCGTTTTCTCGGTCGAGGACCGTTGCCACCGCGCTGCAAAAGAACGTAGACGACGAGTGTGGACGAACGCACCGCCCGCGATTTTATTTCTTCTATCCGAGAGGTCTGAACGTGGAACTTGTCGTTGGTCCACGAAAAATCGAGGGTTTCGAAGGATTTTTTAACGGGTGGTGCGTTTCCTCGACGATATGATTACGTTGTCGCGACGTCCTCGTCGCCAGGAACACGTTCTGCAAGTTTTTCCAATAACCGCGACAAACGTGACGTAAGAATCGTGGCAGGGGGATGTTAGGAAAGGTGAACGAACGAATGGACATTGAAAAGGGGGTGGGAGTGGATGAAGATTACGGAAGTTTCTGGGGTGGAGACGGGGGTTGTTCCTCGGTGGAAAAATCTTCGGGATCTCGCGAGTTCACTAAGGTCGCCTGCCTCGACGGATCGAGGAGGAAGAAGTTCTTGCTGGAGTCGAGGGGTGACAGGGGGTGGATTAATGTTTTCTAGGGGGGTGGTGATCTCTCGAACGCGCAGGACGCGAATTCATCCTGGCGACGGGGATTTCGTTCGGTCGTGGCTTAAGTTCTAACAGTATTTTCTAAGGGTGGGTTGACAGGGGTGGCTCGCAGCCTAAGGGCGACGGTGAGCTTACCTTGCTTCCCCTTTCGTTAAATATGATTTCCACGTCGAGGATTGGCCCGAATTGCTGGAAAACAAAACAGAAGACCGTGTAAACACACCACGGCGACAGACGTGAATATTCATCGAGAAAGGAAAGGCGGGAGAACCTTTTATATTACGGGGGTCGAAAGTAAACCAGGTTTTGTCGAATATTGTAATTGCATCGTGGATTTTTGACAGTTCGTAACAATAGTACTGACTTCTCTCCAAATAATCACAACAACTATTTGCCAACAACAATTAATTCAGCCGTACTCCGAAGAGGTCGTTTACTTTCCACCTGACAAAATTCACCGTCTACTATTCACTCGGATTAACATCTTTACCTCGATAGGAAACGGTATTTCCTAGAGGCACTCGACGATGATTAGAAGGTGTAAAAAGGGTCGCAGCGTTTCGGACATAGGGAACTCACCCCAAACATCGCCCTGAGATCAGGGTCTCGGAAGCGGAAAGGTATATTGCTGACGTGAAGGCGTTTCGGTTGACCCTTCAGGTCGGTGCCCTGTGTCGCGGTCGCCGGTGTCGTCGCACCTGAGGTGACAGGTACCAGGGTGCTGCCCTCGACTGCGCCCTCGGGGCTGGTCTCGTTCCCAGCGGGCGTTGGAGCCGGCTGTTGGCCACCGCCACCCGCAGCTGCAGCCGCTGCGGCCGCCACTGCTGCCTGAAACACCTCCGACTGTTGTCGGAAATCAAACATGGACATGGTTAGTGTTTATCTGGCGAGACAACGGGTCCTTTAAAGTCACAAGAAGTTTTATTAATATTCATAATCGCTTAATTGTGAAAATCTCGTTGAGTAATCATTCGTGTTGAACTCCGTGCGAAACCATTAAATATACCGTGTTCCACCTTCTATTCCCTCCCCTTGAAATCGTGCATGTAACGCCTCTAAGTAGAACCTTCCGTAAGTGGTCAGCCGCCACGGCCGACCTTATCTCTCGGTCGCGCTACTAACGAGGCTAAGTGAACACACGTAGCGTACAGTCAGACGCAGCTGTTGCTACGTGAAATTTCTGCCCGCGAGCATACAGGTTCGGGTGAACTTTATCACCCCGTTGTCCGTTCTTCCACGGTAGCACCGACGGAGCTGGGCCACACGTACTGGAACTAAAGCAATTCGAGCCACGGCACCCAGCGTGCTATTAATAAACACTTACTCGACGAAGATTATTCCAAGTTCCCTCCACGACGTGGAATTTCGTGTGTCCAAGGCGTTATATGCACCGCGCCACAATTAATTCGAGGTCTTACCTTCCGTTGAATTTCCATGAACAACGAGCAATATCCTCACCGTCCATTAAGGAAGCATAAAATATTACAAAAACTCAACTAGTATGTTTCGGGGAATATTGTAATTAGAGTTTCTAGAAAGCACTCCAACAATATTTACTCCGAAGCCCTTCTTACTTCCCATCGAAAGGGGATTTAGGTCGAAAAATGTCATCGATCCAAAGGATTCTCAATTAATAATGAGCTCGAATACTACTACAAGCCTGTCACCTGGAACTACGATTAGAATTCGTCTGGCTCTACCCGCATACAGACGTTTCGTTACTCCGAAACTTCTCCCTTCTCGATCGGAATTTCTCCAAAGACCTCCCCAGCGGGCTAAATCTCAATGGGATCTAAATGTTCAGTCTCGTAAATGTTTCAATAATTCAGCCTCCATGGATAGCAAATTGTTTCGGGAATGTATCGTTCCCATGTTTCGTACGTCGACGGTATTCGTTCCTCGATCGATCAATGGTGGTGCACCCTCGATGAAATTTAGATGCAGCCACCCTGTCGACCAGGCTCAGAATGGGATCCTGGCCCTTCACTAGTTCACGGTAGGTGGGCTCACGAATTATTCATCGACCATCGACGCGGTCGACACCGGAAGGGATCAAGGGTTCAAGAAGAGCATCGACGATGTGCGCGTGCGCTTGTTTCGCGGCCGATTAGAACTTTGGTCTCCTGCTGGCAAGGCAAAGAAGACGCAAGAGTCGGGTATTTAAATAATCCAACATGCTTGCAATGTTTCAACTACGAGTCATCTCGTAGCTGGCAGTCAACGTGTTAATGTTTCTTTGATTAAAAAAATAAAAGCTGCTTAAAATCCAGCGAATATTCCGCCGAACGATTAATACAACAATCCTCACTGACCAATGAAGCGATTTTACGCGATCATCGTTTAATTACCTTTTAATTACAATCCGCATCAAGGGCACTACGAATCCCCTTCGGGAACGCGCGATTGAAAAATATTTCGCAGTGATAATAAACGGATCGTGCCACGAAATTCTCCATCACCCGTCATACCAGCTCTGCAACGCCTCTAAAAAAAAAACGAGGTCGATCACGATCGCGCGTTTTAATCGAACAAAATTGCGCGTCGTTCCAGTCTTTTGTCTTCTTTTTTTTTTCATCCAACGGTTCTCCCGTCGTGTCGTCCGCGCGGAATAATTTCACGTTGCCCGGAACACTGGTTCCAATTAGCCGAAATTATTTCGATTCGACGAACTGCGTGGGCGTGGCTCGTTGCCGTTTCCCTATAGTATCACCCCCACCCCCTATGGAATTCCGAGTGGAATTTAACATTTCGAGAGACAAACGATTACAGCCGCTTGTAGCCAAACAACAGACCGCGGCTGCTGAATTCTATTAGAACAATATCGAGTGATCCTCGGTGGGGTTCGCGCGGTCGGCGTAAACTACGGGAATCGGGTTTCTGTAAGCGCGCATGAAGCTTCAAAGGCTTCTGGAGAACGCTTACCATATCCCCCAGGTTTACGTTCGTTCATGGCCGCGCTGTAAACGTCGGTTTTCGTTCCGTATGCACTCAAACAACCGATTTGACGCATTACAGACCAGCTTCCATCCGCAGAAATTTCATGGAAACGTTAGCTAAACCTCGAGGACTGCCACTTTCTGTAACAATACTTCACTTTATCTCCAGTATCTATGAAGAACGTATCGTCTTGAAGTACGACGAAGGTTCTCCAATAGAAAGAAATGACTAAAGATTCGCCATATATAATCCATCAAACCCACGTCTTCCAAAGGCCCATTAAAACGAACCTCGGACTATCTGGGTAGTCTGTCCAGTAATATACCCCGTTTACAGTCCGATATCTCGTCTCAGAAAAGCGTGGAAATTCCAACAGGAAGTTCTCGAACTCCTCCCACACAGGAGAACGTTCAAGGGGGGCGGGAAAAGTTATATACTCGAGGGGGGAGGGCAGCGACCGTAAAATCCCAACGATCCGCGAAACACTCGAACTACCCTCGAAACGCGACTTTGTATTGGCTAACGAGGCCCCGCCACGGATAGGCAAAGGATGGAAATTTTCGAGACGACTAGGCTCGCGGAAAAGTTTCCCGTCGTTCGAAAGGCCACTCGTGGAGGCCCGCGGATGGAAACCGGATTGTCTGAGGCCGTCCGTCAAACCCTGTGTGCGCGCCGCAACCGTGGAAAAGGGCGTGGACGTTGAAAATGGAACTTTTAATTTGCGCTTCTGCTAGCTGTAATTCGATTCGTACCGCTCGAGGACCACCAAGACCACAAGTTAACTTTCGATTCCCATTCGAGCCACTATTCGGTCGGGTCGGGTGTATGGCTGAAGGATTTGTTCTCTCTCTCTATGTAGCCTTTTGTTCGGGGAACGCGGTGCGATTTTAAGGAAACAATTCGAGTTTTAACGGTAAAAAAACTTTCCCGCGTTTTCACACCCTGGAATTTGTAACCGATCCCAATTTTACGCGTAACTGAAGAATCTCGAAATAGGATTTGGTATTAGAAGGGACAGTTCATTTAACTGTCTGACATCGATTTTAACAGGGGTTTTGTTAGATAATAATGTATGGGTTCTCCTATCATCTTAATCAATTAATAGTTCAGAGTGAGATTTGGGCACGACTCACTTATCATACACGACGTAATTATTAAAAGGATTTTTTTATCTTGGATAGAAGTACTTTTGGCCGCGTGATGTTCAGTTGAGTGTGGATTTCACGAACGATCCGAGTCGAACGAGGATTTTAAGGAGACCCGTTCGTGAGCCAGCGATAATTCGCGTGATACAAAACGAACGGAACGGAGCGCGCGGCAGCTTTACGAGCCGATGACTAACAGGCACCAGTTTAATTGACCAAACGAGCCACGGACAAAGCAACCACGTTCTCCAGTACCGCGACATTGTTCGGAACTCTTCGCGCAAAGGTTCGACCACCGTGCCAGAAATTCATAGTCCATGGACCGGGTGTTGATTAGATGCGCATCGCGTACTACCATCCGAGCCGTATCGCGATCACCATGATCATTTTAAACGCAATCTATCCGTAGAAGAAGGTTTCCAAACAATCGCCAAGAATGAATAGTACCGATCGTGAGCTTTCATGGAGCCTAAATTTCCGACATTTAACAATTTCGTAATATCGTACTATGCATATTTCCTATTCAATAATTGTCCAAATCTTTATGAACGTGAGTGTATATATCGGAATTTCCGTCGAAAGCTCGTCAGAAGAGACTAACCGGGGGTCGACGTCGTCAAACAGCACACGATTATACCAGGAAGAACCAACGAACCGGAGAGAGAGAGGACCGTGGCGCAGCACGCCCGGAATTCGTCCGCCCGCTAAATTCAATTAACGAACGGGAATTACTTTAATTAGCGCGGCTAATTAGGCCGGTTTATGACTCGCGGTAATTGCCGCGACCGGGGAGAGACGACGAGTTATCGTGGTTGTTATATCGGCGGCGTCGTGCCCCGAATAAATCCGGATTGTTCGCGCGACGAAGCCTCGTTTGGACTCGAGTGTTTGGGCTTGTATTCGACGTAATGCATTCGATATTGTCATTCAAACATGTCGTCTGGTATCGTTTATAAAATTCGTAAGATTTTGTAAAGTAATACTTCTAATTACACTAGTTATTACTATAGTATCACTACATATTACTTTGCAATCACTAGTTTTAACTTCGTTATTACCAGTTATCACTACTTTGTGGTTAATGGTGGTTAGTGGTGGTTACTTTTGGTGAGTTGCCTATCACTGCCGTACACACTAAGCTATCCAACAAACACTTTCACCCTAACGTGTTTCGCCGCGTTCTACCTGTCCGCCATCTCTTCTCGGTCTGTTTTTCGATCTCTACGTGGCCGGAATAATCGAGATCCCTACAGCTCGTAGTACGTGACTACGCCGTCACGGATCCCCGCCAAAGAGAGGATCGTTGGGAGAGCGTGTGTCTGTCCGAGCGTAGCTTCCCTCGATATTCCGCGGAGCGACTTGCCCGAGGATCAGCCGCGATTTCCTCGCGAGCTGGGACACACCGCTCCGGTAGGAAACAAACTGGAGTCACCTGGGGAACACACTCATCGCTGGCGCCGTTTCGGTACACCGATTTTCGAGTGGCTGTTATCATGTGTCCTGATATTTTATCTCGCTTTAAATTAATCACGTCAGCATCATCCAGAAGAAATCATGTACTACTACTACTTCGAGAGACCCACCGCACGAATTATGGACAATATAATTGCATAAACCGCATAATTATGAATGTTAATAAATTCTCTGTATCGCTGGACTTCTTTAGCTCCCAAGTCTCTTTTAGGCACAGATTATACAACACATTGTTACCTACAATTGACTGATTATAACCGAATTGTGTACTAAATAAAGAAATAAATAAATAAAATACCTCCAGTCTGACAGTAGTGTACTTTAGTGTTCCCTAGAACTAATGATCTTGGTATAGGACGAGTCAGTGTCTTATACCCCGCAATAACAACTACGATGTGACTAGAACTGGAGAAGTGACGTTGATTACCGACCAATCTCGATAACCAAATAGAACAGGTTAAACCACTGACAGAGAGAGAGAGAGAGTGGAAGCAGTTAAACTTACGATAGCCTGTTGATCCACGCCGTTCGGAGGTGGGGGCGGACTGAAACTGGCAGCTGTTGGTGCACCAGGGGCCGTTGGATGTGGAGCGCCTGCTGGTGGTGGTACCTGAGGCCCACTGGGCGGCGGCTGCTGGGGTGCCCCGGTGTTGTCCTCTTTGACAGGCACCGGTGGCGGCGGTTTCACCTCACCAGCCGCACCGGCCGCCCCAACGACACCCGCTACGCCGTTCACCGGCGGGGGGAAGACACCCCCACCGTAGGGCGCAGCCATGCCTGTCTGCACCATGTGCTGCAAAGAGAAAGGATTCTTTTAAGTTTCGTCGCGAATCAGGTTTCGTCAGGAATTGGGATACTTCTGCGTGTTGGCACTGTCCGGATACCGGGGGTGTTTACAGACGAAGACAGGTGTTTGGGTTATCGTCAATTGGTTTATATGTCGGAGTACCTAAATGCTCGGATCCCCAAGACGGGGTTTGAAGTGCGTAGATATATGAGTATTTGGATTCTTACGCTTTTAGACTGCTTACATATTTGAGTTTCTAGGTACCAGACCGCCTGGAAACCGACATATTCAAGGAATCTAGATACCATAAATAGAAACATTATCCAGAGGTCGTAAATATGCAAGTCGACCAACAACTGGAGTACTCGAGCCATCGTAAGTGCCTGCATAAAGACTTCCCGTGTACGTCTAAATCGATCTGGCTCCGGCAGCCGCGCGAGCGAGCCTCAAATAAATATTCCGTTTCCCGAACAAACAAACGGGAAACGTCGTTTTTGCATTTTAAATGTGACGCGCGAACGGCACGATGATTTGTGCCCGTATGCATTCATCAGGGCGCAACCGTAAATAGGCTCGATAGCCGGTATTAAGAGTGGAAAGCTACGGGACAAGCCGCAAATCATTTCGCGTGTCGCACGCGGACCGATTAGCGACATGCTAGAGAAACCGTACCCTCCCCCGTCCCCCATTCTGTTCGCGGTTCGAACGGGAATTCAAAAGAAACAGCATCGGAGGTAACCTATCGTTGAGCTGCTGTGCCTTCTCTTTAGTTTCCGTGCTCGGCCGATGAATGGAATTCTTTGTAAAACAGCCGATCCCACGAATTTGTTCAGTACGTGTGATATGTGCCTGGGCGATCAAACGAAACATTTGATCACGGTCTTCCTCCACTCTCCGAAATTAACTGTTATCGAACGGATCGATCGGTCTAGGAAATGATACATGGTAATCGGTCGAGAAGCTCCATTCAACGATTATTATTATCCCTACCGGCTTGTTTAGCGAGGCTTCACAGACGTTTTGATCACCGAGACTCTGTGATCCACAAATGGAAGGGGAACACAACTCTGATAATGTTCTCGAACTCCACTTCACGAACGAGACATCTGTGTAAGCAGTGAACATTGTTTACCTCAGACACCTAGAGATCTGAGAACCCAGGTATTAACTGGAATCTGCCTGATCGAATACTTAACTCTTAGCTACCCAGGGATTAACTGGTATCTAATTGATCGAACGCCTAATAATTCTTAGCTACCCAGGTGTACCCAACACCAAAATCTCGCTCAAAAGCTGTGTACACGATACTGTCAGGATTGATGTCTCTGCGTCGACAACAGTCAAATGGAAACTGGCGAAGAAGAACATCATCGCGGGTGCAGTCTGAAGCGTCTCGCCCAGAAAGTCCACAAATGGAACCGATTTCTCTGCGACCACAATAGAAGAGCAACCCCTGCGAGACAGCTTACAGATGGTTTTGTCCAGTCAGCTCGCCTGCTTTCGAGATTGTTCCAAAATATCCGGACTCGCGTACACTTCGAACGTAGGAATCTCGCGAGACCGAGTACCATTTATTACCGTCGTCCTGCCATTTTTCTGAAAACTCAATTCCCCACTCGGCTGTACCACGCCCGAAACAGCCATTTGTTATTCACGAACCGATACTCGGGATCCTGTTCTACGCTGAAAGTTTGTCAAGGATTCGTTTCGAGAAAATCGACCTGGGCGAGAATTGATATTTGGGAATCATCGATAACGCAAAAATTCGATGCTCGATTCCCGGATTACAGATCCCTACGGGTTCAAGGCCACATTCTGACCGAATTCATGGAAGTTCGCGGGGGTGGGATTTTACGGATTAGGCCGAAAGGATTGTACTAGTTTCGAACTGGATGGAAATCGTTTCCACGTGCCAGGTTCCGCGAACTTCTTGCCAACTCTGGTAACCGAGGCGGGATTGTGTAATTCGTTGTCCAACCTGACGAACTTATAACGCTGTTCTTGTGTCGTAGTTAAATCATGAAATGATTGTAAATGTGAAGAAGAATAAACAAGAATTAATAATTCCATTCGTTCTAATAATTAAGGCGTCAAGGGAACAACAGAAGTCTCTACGAAGGCCATCAGTTTCAGGGAACGACGGTTCCTTTCCCACGCCTCGTCCGTCCCACCAGAAGTCTTTCAGACGGAGAACGATTCGCCCCAACGAGTTTTCCGTCGCAAAAGAGCTCCTGAGGATCGGCACGAAAAGGGTTCTAACGAGCCGTCCGAGGGAAATAAAGGCTAGAAGACTAGGCTGGCTGGGGGAAGAAAGGGACGCAAAACAATGGACGAACGGGTATCCTCCCCTGGGGGCACGACCGAACAGAAAGACGCGCGAAGAACGAAGGATCGGGTCTGAAAAGGCTACGGGCGGTGAACGCACGCGGATCGAGGGTGATCCCGAAGAATCATCGCACGGTGATTCCTCCTTTTTTATCTAGAGTCTTATCTCACGGACGGCTGGCGCTTGGATTCATCCGAAGGGAATGGAACAAGATCCCACGACCCAATTTCCGAAGGCTGACTATGTCATTGGGTTAACCCAGTTTCCGTGGACGGGGATCCGTTTATTGCTCGCCGGGAGGAATAATGACGTTCAAAGGCGTCCCTAGGTCCTGCACAGGTCCCAGCAATTTGACGTTCCTCTGATTTTAATGTTGCGAATGCCCGCCTCCTGATTACCGTTCGTGAATTTAATTACAACGTCCCCGCAGCAAAGGTTGGCGGGACTTTTTATCGAGATTGTTGTCTTAGGCGCGGCGGCTGTTAACGGGACATTTTTATCGCGACGGTTTTGTTGCGTGAAGTCGCGGACAAAGCGTAGAAACGATTTCTGGTTTCTTTTTCATTTAGGAGAGGAGTGTTCGAAAACTCGGCGTTTTTTAACAGCCAGAAACTGGCTGTTTTCTGGATAGACAATAAGGGGCCATTCGGACCACGTTTTCCCATTGGGGGCATTAGACCGTATCACGTTGGTAGTTGCCCCGGGTGTATTACGGTTATTGCGTGCGAGATAGAGGGATGAGAGTGGGATGTCGATGGGGTATCTGGGGATAACCTCTAAACCCCAGGACGTACCGAGTAACAACTTGAAGTACCATCAACTGCGTAACATTTCGTCCCCCACTATAGGGGTTCTAACGATATATGGACACCCAGGGAGTCTAGGAAGCTGTCGAAACTCCGATAATCTTTGATCCTCGGAACGGAAGCACAGTTTTCCCCTGTTCCCACATTTGGAATACGCTGGTTATCGACCGGGTCGCGGATAAGGCAGGAAACCCCTTACCGATCGAGGCTGGATCAGAATGGGGGCCAGATTAGGCAGTTAGACGGGACGAACGCAGGAGGGACGAGCGCGCTGGCCAACACAGATAGGGAACTCTGCGTTTCCGCCATTTGGAAGAGAGGACGCGACCCACGGATCCATCGCGCGTGGTGCCTGGTGAACAGAGTATTGACGTACACCCACGAGCAGACTCGGCTTCCGCCAGGGAAAAAAGTGACATAGGAGACGAACCTTTTAAAATTTGGTATCGGGAATTATTGAAATTTATGCCAAATTAACATTCCATTTAATATTTCTTTCAGTACTTGAAATAAATTTACCAAGTGGTAGTACGCCCTTACTCTTACGCCACTTTTTCCCCTAACAGAAGCCGAGTTTGCTCGCGGGGGTGCACACACCTTTGACGCTACGCTCTACACGGTGACGCAATAGCGGCGCGATGCTAAAACCCGGTGACGCAACGACGTCGAGTGTAGGGATTCGTGAAGGTGCGTCTCGATGGGGACGGTAACGCGCGAAGGTAAAATGCTTCCCTTCTTCCGTGACAGTAAATGGAAACACTTGGGCAGACGACGGTGTAATGCAATTCACAAGACTCGGCTTCCCAGAGCATATTGTATTAGCGCGTAATAAATGGTTTTCGTCTCTCCCGTTCGAGGAATACGGCCTGGTTAACGTTGACTGCGCTCCCTTTGTGTCGTGCCCGCCTGCTGACGCGGGGACACACCTTTTTTTGTTGGCGTGCGCCTCCGACGCATGGAGGCCGTTCACGGTGGATGAGTGAACCAGCGAACGCGAACGATCAAAGGATCTTCATTTGCACCATGTGGTACACACGTCCGGACATTGGACCGACCGAGAAGTGTCCAGGAAATTAAGTACCTATTGTTTACGGTTGGGAGATTGCGGTACGTTTCGGGGAGAGCCTCGGGGAGCCACGACCTAGAGGTGTCCAAACAGTGGATAGCTAGTGGTCGAATGATCGAACAGGGACAGTCAGGAACTACCCGATTCTAGCTGAACAGGTACCTGATCTTGTGTCCATATAGGCTTTCTAGAAACCAAAGGTAAAACCCAAAACACAAATACAAGCTCAGGTGCTAACTTCGGAAAATCTTAGACTGGCCTAGAGTCTATTCTACCATTGTCGGGCCCCGACTCACCATCTTGCACGTCGCTCATAACGCGACGAGAATGCACCGCGCATCCCCGGCTCCTTCACGCGGTGCGCAATCGTGTCGCATCCCAAGCGACCGGGATGCTTACGACACGAGGCGAATAACTAATGTCGGCAGCCGCAGAAATTAAGCTTCCGTCGTCGGCGAGGTTTATGAACATATTCAACGGACTGTACGGAAAGAATTGTGGGGAATGAACACGCCCTGGGAATATAGTTAACCCTGGATGAGTGTTCGAAGGCTACTCGACACTGACAAGGAAAGGTCCCCAGGTGTAACGCTGACCTTTCAACGAGGTTTAGTACAATGACAGAGCTCGGGATTCTCAAGCGAATGATATTTGTTTCACCCGCACATGGCCTATGAAATATGCGAAGGTTATGAACACACGTTTATGAAATATGTGAAGACTGAGAATGTGGATCCGAGTGGTAAAGGCAATAAGAATTAGCGACAGTGTGGATTGTAACGTGGATTACTGTGGATTATCGTAGCAC